TCCCCGTCCCCACGGCCCTGACGCCGCCCTGCCGCTGTCCCCGCGCAGCAGCAAGATGAGCATCAAGGAGCGGATGCGGCTGAGCAGCTCGCAGCGCCAGGGCAGCCGCGGCCGGCAGCAGCACCTGGGGCCGCCCCTGCACCGCTCCCCCAGCCCCGAGGACGTGGCCGAGGCCTCCAGCCCCAGCAAGGTGCAGAAAAGCTGGAGCTTCAACGACCGCACCCGCTTCCGAGCATCCCTGAGGCTCAAGCCGCGCACCCCGACTGAGGGTGAGCCCCTGGGGGACACTGGGGGGGCGATGCAGGGTTGGGGACAAACCTCGGGCTCTGCCATCCCCCCGCTCTTGGCAGCCGACTGCCCGCCGGAGGACAGCGGCGAGGAGAGGAACTCGCCCTGCGACCTGACCTTCGAGGACATCATGCCGGCCCCCCCCGCTCTTGGCACCCGCAGCCGACTGCCCGCCGGAGGACAGCGGCGAGGAGAGGAACTCGCCCTGCGACCTGACCTTCGAGGACATCATGCCGGCAGTGAAGACCCTCATCCGGGCTGTCAGGTGGGACTGTCCCCTCCCGTGTCCCCCAGCGGGCACAGAGCCCCCCGGGCACCCCGTTCCTGCCTCCAGCCCGGCTGTCCCTGCAGGATCCTGAAGTTCCTGGTGGCCAAGAGGAAGTTCAAGGAGACCTTGCGTCCCTACGATGTCAAGGATGTCATCGAGCAGTACTCGGCGGGACACCTGGACATGCTGGGCAGGATCAAGAGCCTGCAGACACGGTGAGGTGCCCTGCAGGTGACCCTGGGGGTCCTCCCGCATTCCCGAGCCCTCGGGAGTGATGGATGGGCTCTGTCCCTTCCTGCCCTCCCTGCCAGCGTGGACCAGATCGTGGGCAGGGACCGGGCGCTCCCCGCGGACAAGAAGGTTCGGGAGAAGGGCGAGAAGCCGGCGCTGGAGGCGGAGCTGGACGAGCTCAGCATGATGGGACGCGTGGTCAAGGTGGAGCGGCAGGTCAGGAGGGGAGAGCCCGGGATCCCCAGCCCCCCAGGAACCCCGGCAGACAGCGGGGGGACACTGTCTCCTGCCCCGAGGGTACCAAGACAGCTAAACGAGTCATCTTTGGAGAATAAGAGACACTGGAGACATCGGTAGAGGATGAAAGGGCTGACTCCTGGCAGGGGTTAATCCAAGGTTTTATTCGGAGCTCCTGGGAGCTCCCACACCTCAGGGGGTGTCCTGCTCAGAGTGCCAAGGTTACATTTTAAAGGGAGGTGAGAACCAAAAAGTAGATAAATTTGCTGACCAGTAAAGAAACTTCAGGGGTGAACACTTAGGGAATGGACATTTGGGACAGTGTATGGGGCAGCACTTGGGGGCTGACCCCTGGCCTCGGACTGATCACTCGATGGCTTGGACTGAAAGTTCTAGAGGGGATGGGATGCTGAGTGACTGACAGAGAGCCAGGGCGGGGATTTGGGGATGATCTCAACCCAGGAGAATGATTACAGATAGAGGGAGAGGGTACGAAAAAGGGTACACCATTTGGGAAAAATAAGAGGATACAAAACCATTACAAAGTATAGAAACACACTACAACACCCCGGCAATGTCACCATCCCTTGGGAGGGTCAGCTGAGCCCCCTGCGACCCCTCCAGGGAGGGTGGGCCCGGCTGAGCCCTCCCTGCTGCCCTTGCAGGTGCAATCCATCGAGCACAAGCTGGACCTGCTGCTCGGCCTCTACTCGCAGTGCCTCCGCAAGGGCTCCAGCAACTCCTTCAGCCTGGGCGCGGGCCGGGCGCCGCCCGGAGAGCCCGACAGCACCTCGGACTACCACAGCCCCGCGGAGCACGAGGACATCTCCGCCTCCGCCCAGACCCTCAGCTCCTCCAGGTCGGCCAGCGCCAACATGGACTGAGCAGGAGGCAGCGGGATGGGCGCTGCCCGCCGGGATGGGGCGCTGGGGTGGCGTGGTGCTGTCCCCTCGCTGTCCCCTCGCTGTTCCCTCGCTGTCCCCTCGCTGTCCCCTCGCCGTGTTACTTGAACCGAGTCTTCCTCTGAGGGGACACGGCTGCAGCGGGGTGGCTGTGGCACTGTGGCATGGCCAGCCCAGGCTCCTGGGACATTCCTGGGCTGTTCCTGGGATGTTCCTGAGATGTTCCTGGGATGTTTCTGAGATGTTCCGGGAAATTCCTGGGATGCTCCTGGGACGCTCCTGGGATATGCCTGAGATATTTCTGGGATGCTCCTGGGGATGATTCTGGGATGTTCCTGAGATGCTCCAGGGACATTCCTGGAATACTCCTGGGATGTTCCTGGGGTGCTCCTGGAATATTCCTGGGGATGCTCCTGGGGAGCTCCTGGGGTGTTCCTGGAATATTCCTGGGCATGTTCCTGGGGAGCTCCTGGCATGTTCCTGGGTAGCTCCTGGGATGCTCCTGGGATGTTCCTGGGGAGCTCCTGGGATGCTCCTGGGATGTTCCTGGGGAGCTCCTGGGATGTTTCTGTAGGATGACACCTCCCCAGCTCCGGGGTCCTGGGTGCTCCCCAGCTGTGGTGGGGATGCTCTGGGCTGGCCCCATCCCCTGGGGTTTGGGTTGAACCCCATCCCCAGCCCTCAGGACAGATCCTGCCTGGTCCCCCAGAGCTGAGCCGGGGCCACCACCAGCTATGCAAGGTCCCACCTCCCTCTTGCTGCCAGTGCAGGGGTGTGGGGGCACGACCCAGGGTGGTTTTACCCACATCACTCGGGGTCCCCAGTGTGGGGAGCTGGGGACTGTCCCCCCTCCCCAGGCTGCACCTCTCCAGAAGCACAGCAGAGCCTTCTGCCTGCCCGTGCATGCTCCCAGGGCAATACATATATAGAAGATATAGAGATATATATATATATGTATTTATGCAATAATGTCTTAATATGCAACACCCCTGGGAAGAGCAACCCGAGGGGCCATAGGCAATAAGCAACCCCCTGCCAGCTCCCAGGGCTGGGCTGTGCTGCCCAGGAGGGCCCTGGAGGCCCTGAGGGCTCAGGGCCGGGGGGAAATCTCCACCCGAGGGTGGCCCTGGAGCCAGGAAGCTGAGCAGGGGCTGTGGGGACAGGCGCTGTCCCCAAGGAGTGTCCCTCCCCCGGTGTCCCAACCCCTACTTAGAGGATTCCCTCCCTGCTGGGTCCTGCGGTGCTCAGTTTGTCCCTGCCCGTGTCCCTGTCCCCTCTGCGGTCCGGGGAGCACGGGCCGGGCCTGGAGGGGACCTGCCACAGGGTGGTGTCCTTGCATGTCACCTTCAGCAGAGCCACCACGGCTGCCCCGGTGCCCTGCGCTGCTCCCCAGCCCAGCAACACCGCGGCCGTGCCAAAGCGCCGGGCTGGGGCTGCACCCGGGGGGCTCGGTGGTCACCCCACAGTGCCAGGACCTGTCCTGGGCTGCTCCCCCCGCTGCCAGCGCCGCCCCTCTCTGGGGTGGCACCGTGGGATTCGCACCCCTTCTCCCCTGCTCCGGGCACTGGGGGCTGCCCACCCTGCTCGCCCCGTTAGTGCATGTGGCCAGCGCGGGCTGCCAGAGCTGCTCGAACCCCCCCCAACCCTGCTCTGCCCTCGCCCCGGGGGTGCCCGGGCCGTGCGACACCAGGGGACAGCGCTGGGAGGGTGGCCGTGGGGCGAGGTGCATGCGACAGCTTTGCCCGCAGCCGCACGCAGGAATTAACCCTTAGAACCCCCGTCCCGGGGCTGGCTGGTCCCCGCAGACCCCCCCGAGCCAGCGGTAGTTACCTCACTTGATTAACTTATTAACTTATTTGTTTCATTAAAATTTGGAGTAGAGGCTGCCCGCCTGCTGCCGTCTGTCACCCGGCGCTCCCGAGAGGTGGCACCCCAGCCCTGCCACCGAGCCGCGGTCGGGAGACACAAATGTCCTGCAGGGGACACCAATGTCCGGCCGGGGACACCAATGTCGGGCTCCTCCCTGACCCCTTGAGCTGCAGAACCCACCGAGATGGGACTGAGAGCCCAGCTCCGGCTCGCTCGCCCTCCCCCGCCGCTGCTTTTTTGGCACCTTGCGGGGAAGGGTCGCTGCCCCGGGAAGGGCTGTGCCCCCCCTGCCTGTTTGGTGTGTCCCCCCCCAAATGGCGGCGACGCTGCGGTGTCCCCAAGGCCATCCCAGGGAGGTGAGGGTGCAGCCCCCTTCCCCAGGAGCCCCCAGACCCCCGCAGGGCCAGCAGAGCTGCCCCCCGTGGCTGTGAGCTGGCACCCCCGGGGCCAGCGCGTCCTGCAGCGATGTCGGGGGCCGAGGCGGCCCCTTCCCGTGCCGCTGGCCGCGGAGGAAGCCGGGGCTGGCCGCGGCTCAGTCCCGGCCTTTCCTGGCTGCCTCCTTGCCAAGAAACTCGCTCCAGGATCGCCTCGGAGCCGAGCCCTGCGGGGGCAGCGCCGCAAAGCTGCCCGGCCTGGGGATGGGGTTCGGGGGGCTCCAGCACCCCGGTTCCGCCGAGTGCCCCATGTGTTTGGTGCGATCCCTGGCGGGTTGGCTTTGGGGGGCACCGTGCCAGCCGCTGGCGGCGTTCCCAGAGGGGTGGGCGGCTTTCCCGGGTGGGTTTGGAGGGATTCATCCCGGCAGCTGTGGGGTCTTCACCCCGCACCCAGCCCGGCTGTGTTCATGGGGCATCCAGGGCCACCCCAGCCGGGTGTGGGGTGCGAGCGGTGGGGACGGGGTCCTGGCAGCTTGTCCCTCCCCCGGCACGGCCGGGGCGGTGGCACAGGCAGGGCAGGGGCTGTGTGCCAGCCCGCCGCTCTGCCTCCCGCCGTCACATGCGCCCAAGGTGCCCCGGCAGGACTTTGTCCCCCTCCACCTTGGTGGCCCCACGTGTGCCGAGGCTGCCACTCCCCGCAGAGGGGACACGCGCAGGGAGGGGGAGACGCTGGCGTCAGAGTGACACAGAGGGAGCTGTGACCTCGCAGGGCCAGCTGGCCGCGTCCCGCCGGAGCCCAGCCGCAGGAACGGGGTGAGGGGATGCTCCAAACACTTGGACTGTCGCCGCTGCCGCCTCCGCGCAGCGCCTCTTATCAGCTGGCAGGGGGACAGGGTTGTTACGGGAACGGTCAGCTGCTCCCGCGGCACCCCACGGCTCCTCTGAGCTGTCAGGGAGCTGCCGGGGGCACAAGGACACAGAGCAGCGGCCGGGGATGTCCTTTGTGCCAGTGGCTTTGCTTTGTTCTCTGGGGGTCTTGGGGGAATTCGTGACTCACTGTGGAATCCAGTCACGCTGGAGACAGTCGGGCTGGGCTGGACTCAGTTCCTTCCTGCGGCGCTCCAGCCTCCAGCTCCGCGCTGCCCAAGGACGCGCTCACAGGAAAAGGCCCTTCCAAGAGCTCTTGGAAGAGGGGCTCCCTGCGGAGGGGGCTCCGCAGGACCCCGCTTCAGGCGCCCAGAGCACCCCGGGGAGCAGGCAGCCCCCGTGCCCGGCGGGATTTGCTGCTCCCCACTTGCCCGGAGTGGAGCCCGCCCTGGCCGCGGCATCCCCACCGTGGGCTCAGCCGGGAGCCCCTGGCCCGGGGCCGTGCGGGGAACCCCGCGCTGCTCCCGTCCTGGCTGCCGCGAGGCATCCTCCAGGAATCCTTTGGAGATGCTCCCGGCCGGGCAGGGACAGCCGGAGCCCCGCGGGGGCGGCTGAGCTCCCGCAGCAGGTGCCGGTGCCGCGGGGGCACCGGGGTCTGGGGGGCGGCCAAACCCCCCTGGTGCGGTCCCTGAGCGCGTGGCTGGGCGGGCAGTGTCCCCCTGACAGCCGCGCTGGATCCAAGTGACAGCAGCTCCATGCCCTGGGCTGCGCTGCCCCTGTCTCAGCTGTACCCCTGGGAGCGGGAGGAATGCAGCCCCCTCCCCTCCCCTCGGCACACCTGGGGAAGGGGGAAACCCCCCAGGACGGCTCCCCCTGCATGGAGCAGGGGGTGCTGGCCCGATAGCCGAGACCCCCGCATTGGGCGAGGGCAGCGCCGGGGGGCACCGGGAGGGGATCGGGAGCCAGGGACACCCCGACCCCGCGGGGACAAGTTGGGGGCCACAAGTTCGGGGCTCCTCTGCACAGCCCCAGGCCCGACCCCCGCCCCGCTGCGCCCCGCCCCGGGCCGGTGGCGGCTGCCCCGGCGCCTCCCCGCTCCCCCCGGCCGGGGCGCGGCTATAAGGAGCGGAGCGGGGCGGCGGGGCCGGCGGCGGCGGAGCGGCGGGCGCGGCAGGTACGGCACGGGCTCGGGGGGGCCGGGGTGGGGCTGGGGGGGTCCCGCCCCGTGAGTTCCGTGAGGGATCCCAGCACCGCACCCCCCACTCCTCTCCCGGAGTCTCTGCGCGGCAGGTACGGCAGGGAACGGGGAGGGGATTCCACCCCGTGGGGTCCCCGTGGGGTCCCCGTGGGTGCCACACCGGTTCCCGGGTCACCCTCCCCGCTTTGTGGGGGTCCCGGGAGTCCCCACGCCGCAGGCGGGGAGGGCACGGCCGCGGGAGGGAGCCGGCAGGAGGGGGTCCTGCCCCGTGTGCCCCCGGATTGTCCCCAGCGGCCCCTTTTGGGGTCCCCATCGCCCCCCTGGGCCCCGCGGGCTGAGACCTGGCAGCTCATGGCACTGCCCGCGGTGGGGACTGGGGGTGGCTTTGGGAACGGGCCCCGGGCAGCCCCCCGAGTGTCCCGGGGAGCCCCTTCCCCTGGGGGGTGGTTTTGGGGCCGGTGGTGAAGGCGCGGGCGGGCACGGGGCCCCTCCGAGGCCGGGATGTGCGGAGCTGGGAGAAAAGGGTGTTTTGGAGCTTGAGCTGCGCGGTCACAAGGGGAGTTACAAAACCGGAATGTTTTGAGGAGCCGGGGGAGCGCAGGGTGGGAGCAGCGCCCACCCCGCGGTGCGGCCGGCGTGCCCTCACCGCCCTCCCTCCGCAGGCGTGGGGACATGAGCGGGGACATGCGGGGCCTGCTGTGCCTCTGGCTGGTGGCCCAGGTGGCCCAGGTGGCCCTGTCCTCGCGGGTCCGCACCCGTCGGGAGCTGGGCCCGGGTTTGTACGAGCACGGCGTGTACGACGCGGGCGGCTCGTACTGCCAGCGCGGGGACGTGTGCTGCCACGGCCGCGACGACGCCTGCACCGTGCCCTACCACGACACCCTCTGCTACTGCGACCTCTTCTGCAACCGCACCGTGTCCGACTGCTGCCCCGACTTCTGGGAGTACTGCCTGGGCATCCCGGCGCCGTTCCCCAAAGCCGCAGGTGAGGCGCTGGGGGGGGTGCAGCCCTGGGGTGATGCTGCTGCTGCTGCTCGGGGTGATGGATGTGGTACCCCGCGGTCCTGCCCTCGCCGCAGAGCTGCTGCGGACCCCTCAGAGCTGTGGGAGCTCCTGCAGAGTGTCCGGGGTGGGGATGGACTCCCAGAAAAGGAGGTGTGGGAGCAGCCCGTGACCCCAGAGCCGGATCCAGCAGCGCCTGCGGGCAGAGCAGGGACGTGAGGGGACGTGCGGGGACTGCATCCCAGCTTGCCCGGTCACGGCTGGGGCAGGCAGATGCTGGCCCTGGCTTAACCCTGGCGGCAGCTGGGGCGGCGGGGGGCCAGGAGGGGACACGGGCAGCCCCCGGCTGCCGGCACAAGGCTCTCTCAGAAGTCCCTGCGGAGCAGAGCCAGCTCCCGGGCACAACCGGCCCCTTTATCCCTGTCCCGCCAGGCTGAGCACATTTAACCCTCCCGGCGCCGAGCCAGCCCCGCTCCCTCGCACTGACCCCCAGCAGAATTTGGGGTGCCAAGGTGCAGCCGGGCACCGGCCTGGAGTTAAGAACCGCGGTGGTTTTCCCTTCTGCTTGCACCCCCGGGAATTTGGGGGGCTGGCGGGACCCCAGCACTCACCAGGGGCTCTCCCATTCCCATTCCCACGCAGGCTGTGCCCGTGCAGGACGCAATTATCCCATGGGAGCCACGTACCGGGAGAACTGCAACCTGTGGTGAGTGTGTGCTCTGTGGGCACCTGCGGCATGTCACCAGCGTGTCACCACAGCAAGGTGTCGCGATCCCGCGGGCTCCTGGAAACCTCAGAGCGAGGCCCGAGCTGGGTGGCGGGAGCCGCTGCCAAAATGCCTTTGTTCCAAAAATTCGGAGCTAAGGGCCTTGAGCCGCTCCCAAGTTTTCAGCGCATGCCTGCGTGGGAGCCGCTCGCCCCGGCGCTGCCCAGCGGGGTTTTGGCCACACTGGCCCCAGCCCAGCTTGCCCAAGCCTGACGGGACGCTCGGGCAGTTCCGTGCCAGCGGGCAGAGCCCGGCCGTGCCCGCTGGGCAGCTCCCGCAGCTCGCTGGGAATTCGCTGGGAATACTGGCGTTACCGCACTGGTATTACTGGCATGCGGAGGTGGGGGATTGGGGAGCCTGCCGGCGCGGAGCTGCTGCAGACGAGGATCGCAGCCGCAGGGGCGATGCGGCAGATAAGCGGAAATCAAAGGCAGCGTCTGGGGCGTGTGCGAGGGCAGGGGCACGTGTGGGAACATGTGTGTGCGCCGGGGCTGCGGGTGAAAAGCCAGCCCGAGCCTCCCCACAGCTCTGGGGCAGCCTGGAGTTGCTCCGGGATGGTGGCACGGGGCGCTCAGGGATGGAGGGTGTCCCCGCTCCCGGGGGAATGTCATTGTCCCCAAGGCACGCAGGTGGATGTGGCATCTCTGCTGCTGGGGGAGCGTCTCTGACCCACCAGCACCGGGGAGGGGGCAAATCTTCCCTTCCAAACCCCTCCTCCCCCACACGAGGTGCCTGGAGAACAGGAATTTCTGCAGCGTCACCCCTGTCCCCTGGGGTCCCGCTGAGGGGGCGGCAGGGGACAAAACCCATGCCGGGGTGACACAGGCTGTGGGCACCCATCTGGCGGCACCCTGAGGTGCTCCCAAGTCCCCAGGTGTCACCCAGAGCGCCGGGAGCGCTTGGGGATGGATGGGGGAAGGCTGGAATCCAGGTGCTGCCGGCGGGATCGGGGTGGGGGGGTCTGGCGGGACACGGCCGCGCTCAGCTCCATAAAAGGGAAATGTGCAGGCAGGAGGAACATGCCAAGCATTGCTCACTGCACGGGGGGAGCACAGCCCGGGGCTCCCCAGGGGACCCGCCACACCCCCAGAGCCCCCCCCGGCCCGGCTGTCCCCATGGAGTGACCTGGTCACTGTGGGTCACCCATGGGGACACCCAGCCCCGACCCCCGGGCCCGGGCTGCTGTCCAAGCCCCTCTCTGGTGTCTGCAGCCCTGGCAGCTTTTCAGCTGATTTTCTGTCCCATGGCCTGGCTGCCCTCGGGGCTCCTGCGGGGGCTGGGGGGTCACCCAAAGGCCACCCAGGGTCACCCAGAGGGTCACCCACGGCTTCACCCCGCTGTAAGGTGCCAAGCCCTGGTGACCCCTGACAGAAGCAGCCCCTCGCTGCCTGCCCAGTTTGGGAGGGGCAGCGCCCCTCAGGGTCCCCTGGTCACCCTGGGGACATCAATTCCCAGCGAGTGTCCCCTCCGCAGCACCTGCGGGCCCGACGGGCAGTGGCAGTGCGAGGACCACGCCTGCCTGATGGACGGGGAGCTGATCGACGCCGTCAACAGGGGCAATTTTGGGTGAGGAGCGGGCCCCGCGAGGCTGTGAGGGGTGCCTCACCCCTCGGTGCTTTTTGGGGTGACCCCCGAGCCGCGTCCCCTCTTGCCACGCAGCTGGAGAGCCGCCAACTACAGCCAGTTCTGGGGGATGACCCTGGAGGACGGGATCCGGCACCGCCTGGGCACCTTCCGCCCCTCTCCCACCGTCATGAACATGAACGAGATGCACGTGAGTCCCCCCGGGGGGGAAACTGAGGCACGCCCCGTGATTCCCCATGGCTGGGAAGGGGCTCCCGGAGTGGGGGGAGGCAGGGCAGCCCTGGTGTTTGGAGACAGCAGCTCAGCAAATTCCCCCGGACAATCCCCGGGCTGCCAGTGTTGTTTTTTCCCCCTCTCCTCCGTGCTCGTTTCCCATCGGAACGGCGGCCCCGCCGCTGCTGACTCAGCAGAGCCGCCTGCTCCCTCTCTTTGCCTCTGCCCGCACCCAAACCCAGGGTGGGCACCCCCCGGGGGTCCCTGGGGTGCTGGCAGAGCTTGGTGCACGCTCCGGAGCCTCGGGGTTAATTTTAGAGGCACTTCCTGCGCTGGAGAAGCCGGGCAGTCGTGGCCGTGTCCTCCCCAGGAAGGTCGGGGCGGGGGCACCGTCCCCGCTCCAGGGAGGAAAGGCAGGGCCGGAGGCCACCGCGAGGAGCTGTGTCACCAGAGCTGTGCCCTGCTGGGCTCCGGGGTGGGACACTCGCTGCTGGTGTTGTCTAAGGAGCTGCTGGGGCTGTGGAGCCCAAATTTAGGGGAAATTGAGGAGTGGGGCCTTTCTGGGATAAAGGAGAACCCAAATCTTTTGTCGCTCAGGGTGATGTCCCTGTCCTGAGGGGTCTCACAATGAGGCTGGGGGGACACAAAACCTGGCTGGGGACCATCTCAGAGGATGGCTGGGGTGGCTGGGGGACACCAAAGCTGGATGGGGACCATCTCAGAGGATGGCTGGGGTGGCTGGGGGACACCAAAGCTGGATGGGGACCATCTCAGAGGATGGGTGGGTGGCAGGAGGTCCCACAGCAGGGCTGGGGACACTAGAGCTGGCTGGGGACACTGCTCAGAGGATAGCTGGGGTGGCTGGGGGAGGAGCAGGGGTCACACAGTGGGGCTGGGGACATTAGAGCTGGCTGGGGACCATCTCAGAGGATAGCTGGGGTATCTGGGGGACACCAAAGCTGGCTGGGGACCATCCCAAAGGATGGCTGGGGTGGCAGGAGGAGGAGCAGGAGTCCCACAGTGGGGCTAGGGACACTAGAGCTGGCTGGGGACCATCCCAAAGGATGGCTGGGGTGGCAGGAGGATCTGGGGGGTCCCGGTGGGCTGAGCCCCCCGCTCTGCCCCGCAGATGAACATGGACTCCAACGAGGTGCTGCCGCGTCACTTCGACGCCGCCGCGAAGTGGCCGGGGATGATCCACGAGCCCCTGGACCAGGGGAACTGCGCCGGCTCCTGGGCCTTCTCCACGGCCGGTGAGCGCTGGGGACGGGCTGCGCGGGGACACGGGGACACACATGGGGACACGGGGACAGGGCACCTTGCCCTGACCCGCCGCTCCTCCCCAGCCGTGGCCTCGGACCGCATCTCCATCCACTCCATGGGACACATGACCCCCGCGCTGTCCCCGCAAAACCTCCTGTCCTGCGACACCCGCAACCAGCGCGGCTGCAGCGGGGGGCGGCTGGACGGAGCCTGGTGGTACCTGCGCAGGAGGGGGTGAGCGCGGGGGGACATGGGGATCAGGGGATCAGGGGGTGGGATGGATTGGGATCCATGGGATGGGATCCATGGGGGGGGATGGGGTAATGGATGGGATGGGAGCGGATGGGGTGGGGGGCATTGGGATGGGATGGATTGGCATCCATGGGATGGGATGGGATGATGGGATGGGATAATGGATGGGATGGGAGGGGATGATGGGATTCAATGGGATCCATGGAATGAGGTGGGATCCATGAGATGGGATGGGATAATGGGATGGGATAATGGATGGGATAATGGATGGGATAATGGATGGGATGGGATAATGGGATTCAATGGGATCCATGGGGTTGGGTGGGATCCATGGGATGGGATGGGATGGGATAATGCGATGGGATAATGGATGGGATGGGATGGGATGGGATGGGATAATGGGATTCAGTGGGATCCATGGGATGGGGTGGGATCCATGGGATGGGATGGGATCATGGGATTCAATGGGATCCATGGGATGGGAGAGTTATGGGATCCATGGGATGGGGTGGGATGGGATCCATGGGATTCAGTGGGATCCATGGGATGGGGTGGGATCCATGGGATGGGATGGGATGATGGGATGGGATAATGGATGGGATGGGATGATGGGATTCAATGGGATCCATGGGATGGGGTAGAATGGAATGGAATGGAATGGAATGGAATGGAATGGAATGGAATGGAATGGAATGGGGCAGGGTGTTATGGGACAAGATGAAATGGGAATGGGACAGAGTCAGATGGGATGGGACAAGATATGGGATGGGATGGGATGGGATGGGATAATGGGATTCAGTGGGATCCATGGGATGGGGTGGGATCCATGGGATGGGATGGGATCATGGGATTCAATGGGATCCATGGGATGGGATGGGGTGGAATGGAATGGAATGGAATGGAATGGAATGGAATGGAATGGAATGGAATGGGGCAGGGTGTTATGGGACAAGATGAAATGGGAATGGGACAGAGTCAGATGGGATGGGACAAGACAATATGGGACAAGATGATGTGGGACAAGATGATGTGGGAATGGGAGAGAATTGGATGGGGTGGAACACGATGGAACGGGAATGGGATGGGATGGGGTGGGGATGGGATAATGGGGTGGGATGGGAGACAGGGGCTTCTCTGGGATAAAGGGGGTTTGGGACTCTGGTCACGTGGGGAGAGCCCAGGAGATCTCTGTGCTTATCCTGTGCCTTGGACAGGTGGGGAATGAGGACTGCCAGGGCAGGATGGACAGTGGGATTTGGGATTGGGATGGGAATGGGCTTTGGGACAGGGATGGACAGTGGGGTTTGGGATTGGGGATCACAGTGGGATGGGAGTTGGGTTTGGGGTGAAGATAGAAGTGGGGATTGGGATGGGGATGAGAGTGGGGTTTGGGACAGGAATGGAAGAGGGATTTGGTGTGGGGATGGAGAGTGGGTTCGGTATGTGGATGGGATTGGGATGGGGCAGGAAGTTTGGTTTGGAATGGGGCTGGGAGTGGGCTTTGGGATGAGGATGGAGCCGGTCCTTCCCCTCCTACCCCGCTGTCCCTGCAGGGTGGTGACAGACGAGTGCTACCCGTTCACGAGCCAGCAGAGCCAGCCGGCCGCTCCGCCCTGCATGATGCACAGCCGCTCCACGGGCCGGGGCAAGCGACAGGCGACAGCGCGCTGCCCCAACCCCCAGACCCACTCCAACGAGATCTACCAGTCCACCCCCGCCTACCGCCTCTCCTCCAGCGTGAGCGCCGGGCCGGGGGCGCAGCGGGAGCGGGAAGGGGCTTGGCTCGGGCTGCTTTACCTGGGAGAACCGAGGTTGGGAATGCGGCTGGGAAAACCCCGCTGCGGAGCCCGCCGGGAGCGGCTGCTCCGCCCGGCACCTCCGCAGCAGCCGCCTGTGGGTGCTGGAGCAGCTCTGCTGCATCCCTGGGGGTGGGGAGGGCAGAGCCGGGGGTCCCGGCCCCGCTGCCACCCGCTGCCACCCTGTTCTGTGCTTGCAGGAGAAGGAGATCATGAAGGAGCTGCTGGAGAACGGCCCCGTGCAAGGTACAGAGCTGGCGGGGGCACCCCTCTGTGCGCCCCAAAAGGTTGGGGGAACAAAGCAGGGGGAGAAAACCGCTCTGTCCGTGCTGGGGGAGCCGTCGTGGCAGCCAGAACCCCCCTCAGCTGCTCCCCGTGCGTGCCCGGGCAGCGCTGCCCCGGTGCCCGTCACGCTGCCCACCCCAGCGGGCACCGGGTTGCTCATTAACTCCTGAGATTTAATCACCGTCTTGGCAGCTGCGTTTGTTTAACTTTATTCTCGCTTTTTGAAACCTCCTCGGAGTGCTGTTGCGTGGCCCCGGGGAGGATCCGGCTGCCGCCTTCCCTCCCTGCCGCTGGGAACGCGGTGCCCCCGCGCCCGGGGGGACGCGGAGCCCTTCCCTCGCCACAGTGGCAGTGTCCCCAAAGCCTGTCGCCCTCCCCGCAGCCATCCTGGAGGTGCACGAGGATTTCTTCATGTACAAGAGCGGGATCTACCGGCACACGCCCGTGGCCGAGGGGAAGGGGCCGAAGCACCAGAGACACGGGACCCACTCGGTGAAAATCACCGGGTAAGGGTGGGGGTGGCCTGGGGGGGCTCACAGCGTTGGTCAGGGTGCGAAAAATATTCCCTTTGGGTGTCCCCGAGCTGGGAGAGGAGGCAGAGAGGGGAATGGTGGCACAGGCGGCACGAGTGCGGTGCTCAGCACACAGGAGGAGGGGAGGGGGGTTTGGAGGTGCAGACCCCCGGGCCGGGGGGGGATCTGCCCTGTGCCGGTGTTTCCTTCCTCCTGCCGTGGCTAAATATTCCTGCCCCTATTCCGGGAGCGGATGTCCCAACCTCGGCCTGGCCCTGGGGAGGTGCCGGGGGCAGGAAATCAGCAGGGTCAGCCCCTCTCCCAGAGTCTGGGGGTGCTTGGGGACCCCAGAGTCTGGGCGTGCTTGGGGACCCCCCCTCACTGTCCCGTCCCTCTGCAGGTGGGGAGAGGAGCAGCTGCCTGATGGCCAGACCCAAAAATACTGGGTGAGTTTGGGTGGGGGGCTCAGCCACGGGGTGCTGCCGCTTCCCCTCGCCCATGTGGGGTCCGCCTTGGCTTTGTGGGGGGGGGGGGTCACCGCGCTGAGCGTGTCCCCTGTCCCCTCTGCAGACGGCGGCCAACTCGTGGGGCACGGCGTGGGGCGAGGGCGGCCACTTTCGCATCGCCCGCGGCGTCAACGAGTGCGAGGTGGAGACTTTCGTGGTGGGGGTCTGGGGCCGCGTCAGCATGGAGGACATGCCCCACAAGTGAGCCCCCCGCTGTCCCTGTCCCCAGCGCGGCGGGCGGGGGGCTGGCGCTGTCCCCTGTGTCCCCTGCCCGGGGGGCTGCGTGTCCCCGCTGTGCTGACACAGCGGCTGGGGGCAGTGGGGCGTGCGAGGGGGGGGTGCCCCGGGGGCTGCTCCCGTCTCCCATGGGATTTACCCGCTAATCCCCCCGCCCCGGGCTCGGCTGGGCTGCGGTGGTGGCGGGGGGCTCTTCAAAGGCAGCTGCACCCCCCCCCCCATCCCGGCTGGGGCTGTGGGATGTCCCCCCTTTTCCCAATTGGGGGGACCCCCATATTCCTGCCCCTCCCGTCCTGGCCCCAGCAGCTCCCCCCCAAGCAGGGCAGTTCTGGAGCTGGGGGGTGGGATAACCCAGCGGGGGGGTCCCCTGAGCCCCCAGGGCTGGGTGTCGCCAGGATGGGGTCCCCACCGTCCCCCCCCCAGCCCGTCCCTATGGTGCTATGGCCCTGCCACCCCCCCGGGGGACAGCAGGGACAAGGGAGGGCTCAGCCCCGTGGTGTCCCCGTCCTGGGGGGGCCACAATGGGGTGCACGCAGCCAGCACAGCCCAGGACCTCCCCCCCCAACCCAAGGGCTGTACTTTTAAGACTTTTTGTATTTATTTTGCTTTTTACTGTTTGTAAATAAAGTTACGGAAGCCTCAGAGCTCGGAGGGTGGACTCGGTGCTCCGAGGGGGACACGTGGCCCCTGTCACCCCCGCCTGGGGGGCCCAGGGTGGCCTCGGGAAGGGCTGGGGGGGTGAGATAAGGCCCCGCTCATTGTCCACCTTCCGGCCCCGCCGCTCCGGTCACCGCGGCCAGCGCTGGACACGCCGCGGGCACGCGCAGCCACTCGGGCCACCAGGGCCACCACCGCGGCCGGGGGGATCACCACGGCCGGGGGGGTCACCAGGGCCACCTGTGCCACCACGGCCAGGGGAGTCACCAGGGCCACCACCGCGGCCAGGGGGGCCACCACGGCCGGGGGGGTCACCAGGGCCACCTGTGCCACCACGGCCAGGGGGGTCACAACGGCCGGGGGGGTCACCAGGGCCACCTGCGCCACCACCGCGGCCGGGGGGGGGGGGGGGGGGGGGGGGGGTACTATGGCCAGGGGTGTCACCACGGCCAGCTGTGCCACCGCACCCGGGTATTGCCACCACAGCCACCGTGCGGCTGCGTGTGCCACCGCGGCCAATGTGCCACCCCGAGCGCCACCACAGGGAGATGTGCCACCCCATCCACGCGTGTCCCCACAGCCTCAGTGTCACTGGGGTGGCGCTGGGGCTGTTGTCGCCCTGTCCCTTCCCATGTCCCCTCCCTCGGTCCCCCCTGCAGGGCGACACTCGCAGGGTGGAGGGCGCTGCCACCTGGTGCTCGCTGCCCGAAACTGCAGGGATGGGTGCATATATATTTATATTTTTTTAAAAATATGCAAAAATATGTCTATTAGGTATAGATAGAGATATAGATGCGTATAGATATGTCTTTATATGTGTAAATCTATATATATTTATATATACAGTGCCTGTTTGTTTTCAGACATGAACACCACCCCTTATATATATCTATATATATATATCAATATATATATGTCTATATTAATGTGTATATATATACCTGTATATTTATATATATATATGCAAAAAACACCCAGTATATATTATTATATGTGTATATATGTACATGTATCCACACCCATTTAATATATTTATAATATATAAAATATAAAATATAATATATAATGTATAATATATAATATACCTAAATGATATATTATATATAATTTCTATACTATATTTAATATATTATATACTATATATTATATATATTATATATAAAACATGTGTGTCTTTGTATTTATATAAACACGTGTATATATAAACACATGCCTATATATATTTACATATGTATATATACATGTCAAGTTTTTAATATGTTTATGTGTATCTATAGATATGTATATATATAAAGCCTGTGTATATATATATTTATGTGAAAATATGCATGTATACACACCTATATATATGTATATATATGTACACCACTGTGTATAGTGTATATATATACACACATATACATATATATGTACCTATACACCTGTATGTGTGTATATCTGTAAATATATATAAATATATATCATGCAGGTATGTATTTTAAAATATATTTATATGTATATTATATATATATAAAATATAAATATATATATAAAATACATACACGTGTGTATAAAATACATAGAATACATCTATAAAATATATATTTATATATGTATTTACAGCCCTAACCTCTCTGCCTCAAGCCCAAGCAGGGCTGAGCTCTGACTCAACAGAAATATTGGAAATGCTCAGGGGAAAATATCCTCGGAATGCTCGGGGATGGTTGGGAACAGCCAGTCCTGCCCGGGGCTGGCAAACACCGAGCCCGGGCTCTTCCTTCTGATCTCAGACCTTTTAACCTTTCATTCCCTAAGAATTCCTCCAAATCTTTGGAGATTCCTCAGGGTAAACTCCAGGCTCATCACTTGGGAAGAAAACTCCGGCACTGATGGGATTTTTCTGTGCCTCAGGAGCCCCCCCCAATCCCTTATTTTCTACATTTGGACATGGAATTCCTAAGAATTGATTTTAGAGACTGGTGTCCAGCCCTGGGACGTGTCCCCTGGTGCCACCACAGGGGACAGGAGGCACCTGATGTCCCTTGGAGCCTCCCCTGGACACAGAGACCACAGAGCAGCCGGAGCACAACACATTTTATTCCAAAGCTGGAAAAACTGAGCTCTAAACTTTGTCAGGATTTGGCTTCAGGATTGGCAACAGCGAGGGGACGATCCCATGGGGCTGCAGCAGCACATCCCATTCCAGCAGCCCCCGGAAAAACAGGGATGAGACCCCCAGGAAAGCATTCCCAGGGTGGGATGTGCTCCCAGGGCACTCGGGGAGGGAAGGAAGGAGCTTTGTCCTCTCTTTTCCCCTTTCCTGCTGCTTCCGAACCCAAGGCTCAGCTTTTCCTCCCCAAAACGGGGATGTCCTGCTGCAGGCAACTCGGGATGAAGCTGGAATTTGGGGCTGGCACGGGATCTAAGCTGCTTTGGCCGTCCCAGTTTGGCGTGACTCCCACAGATTGGACACAAGGAATCCAAGCCAGGAAAACCCCAGCAGGATTTGGGGTGGATCAAGCCGGAAATTTGGCCCCGGAGGGGAACTCTCAGAGGGGCTCAGCCACATCCAGCGAGGAAGATGAGGATGGCTGAAGCTCCTGGAGAGCTCCAGAACTGCCAGCCTTTGGAGTGGGGGTGTCAGAGCATGCGGGTCACCACCATGGTGAGGAAATCCTCGTAGCTGAGGCGGACGTTTCCCACCATGGCCGTGTCCTTCTCCCGGAAGGCGTCGGTGAGGCTCTGCAGCTGCATGCAGATGTGGATGAACCGGTCCAGCTGGATACTGGGATTGGGACTGGGGGGACGCTGGGCGTACCGGGCCAGCAGCAGCTGGCTGAACTGGGGGCTCAGGTTGTAGCCCATCTGGGAGAAAGCTGGGAGCAAGGAAAAGTGGGATTGAACCTTCCCAAAGGGAGGGGGAGTGGCTGTGTGCTCCTCCCCCACGTCCCACACACCCCATCTCCCACTCCCACACTTCCCACTCAGGGTGTGCACGGGCAGGGCTCTCCAGAGGAATCAAACCACAAATTCCAGGCATTTTTCCCTTTTACACACACCCAGGAGCTCCTCCCCAAAAAAAACAGGTTCCAGCCACTCATCGTTGAGGGGGAATTCTGGGCTTCCTGAAGGAACTCTGTGCCCCACCCCTGCTGCAGCTCATCACCTCCTGTCCCCTGCGAAGCTCCTGGTTTATCCCGTGGATAATTCCCAAGGAAGCATCCCAGGATCTCAGAGCCCCCCAACTTGGCTGCAGGGACAACTCCAGGAGGAATTCCAGTTTCCAGCTGGGAACAGAGTGGCTGTGGGGGGGTCAGCACGGGCCAGGCTGGTGGCCGTGGCCCTCACCCACCTTGCTGGAGCTCGCTGAAGCTGATGGAGCCGGACTGATCCCGGTCATACTGCTGGAAGAGGCTCCTCCACTGCTGGATGAAGCGCAGCAGGGCGGAGAAGCCGTAGACGTCGATGCGCCCCGACCGCGTCTTGTCAAACATGTCTGGGCAGGGAGGAGCAGCAACAGGGCAGGGAGGTGTGGGAAAGCTGCAGAAACTTCCAGGGAGCTCAGGATCCACGCCATGGCTCCCTGGAGTCCTGCTCTGATCCCAAAAATCCCCCTCGCCAGGACAGCGGCCGACTGGGACCACTCAAGGCTGGTAAGAAACGGCGCCAGAAGCTGAGGCTGGGGCAAGCTTGGGGTCAGTCTCTGCATTTTTTGGGCTTTCCTCCCTTTCCTCCCTGTCCTTCTGGGGTCTGGGGCTTGTGCAGAGCTGGGATTTCCTTTCCCAAGCAGGATTTTGGGCCCTTCACTCACGCCCTGCACCGCTGGGAGCTGCTTGGTTTGCCCAGCTCTGGCTCCAGCCGGGAGCGATGCCGGGGAAAAGGGGAATTCTGCCAGGATGGGCTTCACCCCAAATCCAACCAAACCACATTAGAAGGGGGAAGGAGATCCCAAACTCACTGATCATCAGCAGACAGGTCTCATCGTTGAACGAGGACCAGTTGTTGTTGACCAGAGCCTGCTTCAGCTCCTTGATGGAGATGAACCCGCTGTGATCCGTATCCACCGTCTGGAACCAGGAAAACGCCTCGGGATCCACCCCTGGGGGGGCATTCCCTGCGCGGGGAGAGGCCATCGGAGCTGCCACCTTCCCCTCGGCCGGGCCACGGGCTGGGGGTGGCTCCCAGGGCCGGGCAGAGCTTCTCCTCCCACGGGTTTTACAGCCCGGTAAAATCCCGGGAGAACGGGGCAGGCAGGGCTGGGATGGGCACGGAGCGGGAATGGGCTGGGAACCAGAGCCCGGGGGAGCCCCGGGATGGAGAGGGAGCCCCGGT